AAATTTAATATCTATTGTTTATATAAAGTTCTAATGGCGTTTTTTGTCATGTGAGTGGATGAGCTATGAAATTTATGTCAGGAATAAAATAAAAGTGTATAGTGTGTGCGAGTTCATAAATCTAATTGGATAACAATTTACATGTTAACGTTTTTATATTAGCAGTTCGCAATTTAAAAAAAAAAAAAAAAAAACCTTATTAATTATACTGAATAAGCTTAAAAAATCCTGCTTCAAAAATAACTAATATTAAAGATAAAACTTATTGTATTTTTATATTTCTGTATAAATTAAGATGAACGAGATATAAACTTTTAGATTATATATATGATAATATCTATCTTCTTGTAAAAAAGTTTTGCTAATACTTTTCTCTTATAATTAAGTAAATTTATTAGATTTAAAATCTAAAAAGGCTTAGAATAATCTTGCAAAAAACTCTGTTCAATACTTTTTCATATATAAAATATTACTAAAATTCGAGAATTCGTCTTTACCAATATTTTTTTTATTATTATTTCATTGCCAAGAAATTACAACAAAGAATTAAAGAATTCAGAGTAATGCATTTTTTCTAAATTATGAAGACTTAAAAGAATTTAAAGTTTTTAATATTTTCTCTTGTAAAGAGCATCTTGCAATGCTTTTTCTGTTTCAGAATCAAGTATATTTTCATCAAAATTTAAAGAATTCAGAACAGTATTCTTACAAAAAGCTTCCAATAATGCTTTTCCTCCTTCATAACCTAGTTGATTATAGTAAAGATTTAAAGATTTTAGAGTAGTATTTTCGCAAAGAGCTTTTGCTAATGCTTTCCCACCCTCAGAACCAAGTCTATTATCATTAAGATTTAAATAATTCAGAGTAGTGTTCTTGCAAAGAGCTTCTGCTAATGCCTTCCCTCCCACAGAACCAAGTTGATTAAAGTGAAGATTCAAATAATTTAGCGTAGTGTTTTCACAAAGTGCCTTTGCTAATTCTTTCCCACCCTCAGCTTTAAGGTTATTCATGCTAAGATCTAAAAAATTCAGAGTAGTGTTTCTGCAAAGAACCTCTGCTAACGCTATTCCTCCCTCTAAACCAATCTGATTTCCTGCAAGACTCAAAGAATTTAGAGTAGTATTTTCGCAAAGAGCCTTTGCAAATACTTTCACACCTTCAGAATTAAATTCATTAGAGCTAATATCTAAAGAATTCAGTGTAGTGATCTTGTAAAGAGCCTTTGCAAATGCTTTTATTACTTCAGAATTAAGTCTATTATGACTAATATTTAAAGATTTCAGAGTAGTGTTCTTACAAAGAGCCTCTGCTAATGCTATACCACCCTCAGAACCAATTTGATTATTTTCAAGATTCAAAGAATTTAGAATAGTATTTTCGGAAAGAGCATTTGCTAATGCTTTCCCTGCTTCAGAATCAAGGTTATTATTACAAAGACTTAAAGAATTTAGTGTAGTGTTTTTGCAAAGAGCCTTTGCTAATGTAATTCTTTCCTTATAATGAAGGTAATTATTATTAAGATTCAAAGAATTTAGATTAGCGTTCTTGTTAAGGAAATTAAATAATAATTCTATTGGTTCAAATTTATATTTATAGTTATAATCTAAAGAGATTATAGTTATGTTTTTATAAAAATATTCCAATATTATTTGATTATAAATAATTCTGTCTAAACATAAATTTTTAAGTTTATTACTTGTTCTTAAGAACATTATGATCAAAGAACATTGAACAGCACTTTTAGCTCCTTCAACCATTCCACATTTTTCATTATAAAGCCAATCTTTAATTCCATTACTAAATTTATCGCTAATAGATGTAATAAAATTTGTATATTCAAATAAAGGTTTTGGATAATTTAGAAGGTTAATTTGATAAGTGATTAATAGTGATTGTTCTTCAGAATTTAACATTGAAAGACATGTTCTTATAAACTTTCTATTGCCTAAAGGTTCTCTCCATAATATTGGTATAATAATTCTACACCAATGGCGGTTCACTAGAAGACATGAGAATAAGTTTTCATAATCAGTTCGAAATTTATTAAAAATAATAATTAAACATTCGTTTGGTAATGTTATCATTTTAAAAGGGTTAAATGTAAAGGAAAAAAACGGAATTTTTAAAACAATCCAGAAATTTAAAGTATATGGGTTATGTACTAGGAAAATCCACTTTGTCACTTTTCAATCAATTTTAGGATATTTGATTCAAAAATTGTACCTGATATTTTTATCCTACGTCAGGACCGATGATTTTCTGCGGTGATATTTATAGAATTTCAATAATTTATCACGTTCGTATTCTAAAAATAGATTGATTTCATTAGTAATTTATATAGATATCTAAAAATAAACTCCTCAAAGGCGGTTTTCCATTGGTTACTAATATATTTTTAGAACACTAACAAATAATATGTAGTTTGAATTATTATATCAAAGTAGGGTACGTAAAAAGTGAAATACTTATAGATAGAAATCAGCACTTTAATTTAAATTAGAATCTCAAAATTGTGTCAAAGGGGTTTTTCTTACAATAATGCTGAAAATGGAATTCTTATTGTTCATATACATATTATTTGTTATTGAGTCGTTCGATAGCTATGAACAACGAGCACTGAAGTTATCTTATAACCCATTTGTAGAGTTGAACAAGTGCATAGACATAGGGATTCTTATACTGTGTACTGTACCTGAACATTGGGATGTAAATTTTACTTCGTTAAAGGAGAAAATTTTTGTTTTTCTAGATTGTGTTTTAAATATATATGTATTGTGCCTCAGATTAGTGCTTGGATCCGGATAATCCGGATATCCGTTTAGCTTATCTTGATAATTCCGGATAATTTATCCGTTACAATTTTATTTATCCGGATTACTTATCCATTACAGTGTTTTCATAAATTCTGGGACATCTGGCAAAACATGGTCCGAACAAATATTGCCGGTTCGATAAGTTTGTGATTCGGTAGTGATAAATTTTTAATTTGGATATGAATTACTGTAATTCACATCCAAGTCAAAAGTTTATCACTACCGAATCACAAACTTATCGAACCGGCAATATTTGTTCGGACCATTTTTTGCCAGATGTCCCAGAATTTATGAAAACAGCTGTAACAAAACCCTTATACGGATATTCGGATAACTTATCCGGATAACCCTATCCGGATCCAAGCACTACCTTCAGATTTATACTCATATGGGCGGAAATTTTTAGTTGAATTAATGAAATTTAGGTGATAACAAAGTGATATTCATGAATACTCATAAACAGCCTAGCTCAAATGATCCGAAATTGTTCTTGGTTCAGGTTAGTTTTTGAGTATTCTATTTAATTTTTTCAGAGCATTACTCATAAATGGGATATAAAAAACTCATAAGCAACTCATAAGCGATTCATAAGCAATTTTACGAATACTGATTAAAACATCACTTTTAATCTCAGTAATCATACCATGTTTTATCTCTTATTGGCTTGGATTCTATTTAATCTCACTAAAATTCTCATATGTGCATCTGATTAAAATCATTAGGCCAGCATTGAAATGATCTACAATAATCGGCCTTGCAATATAGTGTAATATTCCTTCTGTTAGTTAACCATTTCTCCAAATTTCAAAAATTACGGTATATATTTTTCTTTGAGAAGAATCTTTCAAATTCTATTAATAATCTGTCCGATACAAAAATATCAAAGCACTACTTTGTCTCGAATCCGAATGGAATTATATACAGTACTATTATGTGCATTATAGTAACGCACTTATAATCATTAATAAAATTGTATAGTTATGAGCAAAACGCGGGATCACGCGCGCGATTCTATTTTGCCCATCACTAACTGTGTCTATATAGTATCTTTCAATTAGTAATCGTTATCATTAAGAAAGTATTTAAAGGTACAAGGTCTTTTCAGATAAAGTAATTTTTATTTTTTTCTGCTAATCAAACCTTGGCCATTTTCATCCCGTCCTTGCAGATATGGACTGTCGGGATCAATATTGAAAAAGATGGTTTTTCGAGACGACAATCATAATTTTTAGTTAGATTAACGGCCTTTGCCGTGAATTCTATGTTAGTCATAGTATAACTAAAAAAACAGGCCTTAGTAAATAATCATCCAATATCCTTTTATAGTACTGTAAAACATTTACACTATTCATAATTTTTTCTTAAAACTGTTTGAATATTACGGGTGGCAACATCACGATCAGTCATAGGAAAATTGCTAAATTTTGGAATGTTTTTTTTAATTATTGAAGTAAATTCTGGTCATATTTACTTATAATATAAAATCAGTTATACAATCAAAAATATATTTTATAATATAATACCTTATATATTTTATCTTATAAATAATATTTTATATTAATTTAAATATTTTATTTATTAAATGGTTTAAAAATCCTTTTGAAACTATATGATAAGAAAAATTATAATTTTCATGTCAATTAACAAAAAAGAATAAGAATAATAATAATAATCAAGAGAAAACTTTTATGATCTTTATTTTTTTTCTTATCAATGTAATACAAAGCCATAGTAAAAAAAAAAAAAACTTCAAATGAGCTTATATAATCTGGATATTAGGCTTATGAATCCAAAACTGAAACTTATTACTTCAGTTAGTGTTTCTGGCGAATCCGAAATATTTCGTCTGGGTGAAATGATTTCATATGCTGGCGAAATATTTCGGACGTCAAATAAAATAAAATAAAATAAAATAAAATAAAAAAAAAAAAAAAAAAAATACAAAATTATATATAGTTTGTGGGTTGACCCAAAATTTATTTCGCTCAGGTATATTTCGGATTTGAAAATTATTTTAACCCGAAACACTAACTTCAATCCAATTATAGCATTTAAATTAATGGATTCACAAACAAATAACGAGCTAAATTGGCAAAGTAATGATATAATAATATTTACATTATTTTAGAATAAATAATATTGAGCTTATTATTTTGTATTAAAAATAAATATTAAATAAGTTGCAATTTAATTTGAGACAAGTTTAGATTCTGCAAATCCAACTTGCATCTTATCAAAATCAAATACGCTATAAACATTTGATAAAAATGCAGCGCCAACTATCCAAATGCTATCGAATGCTACTTGAATGGTTGACTGACACAATGTACCATTACTTACTGCTGGTATAATTAATTCAGTTGGACTAATTTTATACGATATGTTATTGAATACCAAAGAGACAACACTTGTTGTATTACAGGGAATCCACCATAAAGCTCCATTCCAATAAGAACCAGGAATATTTTTATGAATATTTGAGACTTGAACATTGTTACCAACGATTATTGGAGTACCTAATTATTAAAACAAAAGCAAAATTTATATAAATTTAATAATAAGTTAAAAAAGAAAATAATACTGACCTGTATCAATTAAAGCAGATGAACCAATTCCTCCAATTGAAACGCCATCAATTTGAGCATCACTCAATAAGATAAACCATAATCCAGTAAATAAAACCTGATCAGTGATATTATGATATACAATATTTCCTACATAAGCATTTGAATCAATGCCACCAAGATTCATAAAACTTTTATCAGTTGAATTTAAGTTATATCTTCCAAAGTGAAATCCGATTACAGTATTATTAAGCAATTTTTGTGTTTTAACTCTTTGAAAAAACGTAGAACCTGTAAGTACAACGGGTTGAAGAGAACAACCAAGAATACCATCTTCTTCATATGTAAGATTAAAACCATCAATTAATGCTAATCCAAAAGTCTGATTAGTAAGAGAAATTCCACCGAGAATAACAGTATCTTGACCTTCATAACCGCTGACACTTGAACCATAAGGTATAGTAAAATTATTTGGAGGTGAAACTGGAATAAATGTCGGAGATTTTGTCGGATCAAATCGATTATGAGTTCCACATTGAGAAGAATTACATTGAATATCTGGAACCCAAAGATCAGCAGATCCAGTATCAAAGTTAACAGTAAAATTTTGACCACCAATTGTTATTATACCATAATAACTAAGATCCCGAAACTTCAAGTTTTTTTCATCGGTTAAAGGTATGACTACATCACGTTTAAATAATTTAGAATATTTTCTGGCCAATAATGTTTGTCGTACTTTTAAAAGTTTTTCAGGTGAAATGGATTTATCTAATTCTCTTTTAAATAGGTCAATTCTTATATAATTTGAATCAGATATCGATGCTGTATCTGAAAATGTAATTAACTGTATTAAAGCTATTAATAATATGAAACTCCAATAATAATTCATTATTATATTTTGAGAATAGAATCTTTTGAGTTTTTCGAAATGAAATAACAATTCGTGGAAACTCTGTCCTGAAATAGTCGCGGTCTGAAAATACAATAAAATATAGATACTATCAAAATATGAGTACCTCTAAATAAATATTTGACTTTTAAGTTTTTCACCCACTATGTAATTCATGTAAATGTATCAATCTTTTATTTTACTTTTTATTAAGAACAAAGATATATTTGCACAAATCGTAAAATAATAACATACAGATATAGGTTTACGGCTGCTTTTATAAATTCCAACTAAAAAAAAAAAAAAAAAAATTGCCAGTTGCCGAATCGATGTTATTTACGTAAGCAGCATAAAAAACTCATCGATTCAGCATTTATGAAAACAGCTGGAATAAAATACTTGATATAGATATACGTATATGCTTCATCGAAATCGATTATTTCAGTAATTAAAGTAAATATTTTGCGGTATTACAGTACTAATCACTAATATTGTTACGTATTATGCGGATTTTAACCATAGTTAACGTTAAGAAAGTTCTGTTTAGATTTATACTGCCAAAGGTCGAATGATAATTTAATGTGAATTTAGAAATGATCAACGCTAAGATCGAGAAAGCAGAAAATAAATCTAAATCCAGGACCAAAAAAGTGTTTAAGTTTACGGCGTACATTGTAATCTTTTCCATAAAAAAAAAAAAAAAATCACATGTTTCTTGACCTATGTTAAATGACATTATAATTATATCACCTTATTTCAGCATGAACCCATCGCCATACCATAATTTATTTACTGATACACTGTGTAGTACAGATGAACAAGCCAAGTTAACATACTTTGTTTTTTCCGAGGCGCACTGTAACCAGAAGATTATCAAGTTACTAATTCAGGTTGTGAACAAGTCCAGTGACCAATTATCACGTGGAGAATCCAATGATTCACAATCCACAATATCTTGCAAATTTATTGGCTAATTTAGGGGTGAGATCTCACCCCTGGATGAGGAATAAATTTACTCTTATTTTAATTAAATTAAATACTTACCATTAATAATAATAAGAATCCTCTTTGCTCTTGAAGGTTACTATTGCACGATCTTCTGCATTTTTCATTTGAGTTCATATAATCGTACAGCTTTGTGTCAATGACAAATATTGAATAATATATCGCAACATTAAATTATTCCAAACATGTACAGTACGTACTACTCGTGTAATAATAATAATAAATAAAAAAAAAAAACCACAATTGTCTTGTCGCCTCGAGAATGATAAAGTATTATATGATCTTTTCTTAAAACTATCAGGAACGCATAATGGAAAGATATGATTGACTGTAGGTCTTTAAGTGACTAAGCGCGTGAGCATAACCCTAAGCTCACATGCGTAGACATTTCTTACAGCATAGTCAACAAAGCATAGTAAAAGTTCGGTAGACAATGCGCGTCTAAATCCCAATGGATAGTAGATATAATTTTATATTTAAAGTAAATGGATTATATCCAGATGAGCGTAAATTAGTCAATGGATAAATTATAGTTATTGCATGAGTATGTGTGAATAACCGAGTTACATACCATTTATATTTCGATCCCGTGGCCTTCGGCCACGGGATTGAAATATAAATGGTATGTAACTCGGTTATTCACACATACTCATGCAATAACTATAATTTATTTGTCAAGCCCTATCATAGTAGGATATAAATATATATAATTTAATATGTTCAAATACATAAATAATAACAACTGCCGGACGATAATAACGTCATCGTATGAGAGCAAAAAATCGACACGATAGTATGTATGGATATGAATCGAATCAAATATCTGTATATATTTGATTCTTACCCGTACACTGTACCGATATTTTTTTTACCCACGATACGATAACTTATAAGTATTTATAAAATAAATGTTACTTGTTTTTTTCTGACTTCTATGTTAATTTACTTTACAGATTATTTATAAAAATTTCCATTAATATACTGTAAACTTGCGTATCCAAGTTACTTCATCCAGTTTAATTAAATGAAGTCCTTATGTCATACTAACTTGAACTATTTTAAAAGTATAAAGAACTAAGTGTTTTAAAGATAGATTATAGGGGTAGTTTAGATATTTTAATATATCTAAAATTCATATATTGATCTTTATCCATTAAACTAAATTATGTAATATCTTTGATTAATTTTCTAGGTTTTAATTAAAACTTTTCAGGCAAGAAAATTATGCAATTTCTTATTATTAACGAAGAAAAAGACAATTAAGAGAAACTTTTGTGATCCTTCAATCAGTGGAGATCGAAAATGATTAAAAATTAATTAAAAATTGGCAAAATTCAAAATTGACGCATATGTAAAAGAAAAAAAAAAACATTAGAATTGTTCCAATGAGCTTATAATATCAGCGGATTTGTGGAATCACCCTAAAATTTATATTATTTGATCTGGAGTAGATCATAATTGACGTTAATCATACTATAATCATTTAACGTAACTTTGGGACAGATCAGACAAACTACACATAATAGAGCAACTTGAAAAAAAAAGAATTCCCTATGAACAAAAATTCACTAAGATTTGGGCGACTGTTTGAGATTGAACTAGGCGATCATCTGATAGGTTCCATTGTTTTGAATTAAAAAAACTCGTAAAAATAAACACTCTAAACCATGGTACATTGTTTTTGCTCTTGTCGAATTAAAAATACCACTGTTTATTTAAATTACGAAATTGCTTCAAGTGGTTGAGGTATTAGATTCATATTATAATTAGAGTGAATGGGTTTCGTGTCGATTTAGTACTTAGATTTTGCCTGTACATAGAATATAATAAATACGTAAAAAATCGGTAAATTAAGGTTTTTCTGTTTATTAACCTTTTTAAGATATAAATATTTTATTTGAACATAATAAGACATTTAACGTTTGATACTGATTCTCCGTTAAAAACATCTGCTTATGAAATAAATACAAATAATAAACAGCTACTTAAGTTTTCTGAATTTTCGGAGTAGTTTCTTTTTAATACATACAAAGATAAGAGATTGGTTTTGACGTCGTGAGATTGGTTTGGCACTGAGTTTATTATAAGATATGATTTTTGGTGAGATCGAAAATTTTTTTATAATAAAAATTTCGAAACTTTACAAATTCAGGTGATTAATATTCTGCCGACATGAAAACTAGATATTAGACTTATGAATTATAACTGAAACTTATAACTTTAGTTCAATCAAATTATAGAATTTATATTAATGAATTCATAATAATTAAGTTATAAGAATAAAATTGTACTAATTTACGTTGCATAATTTTAGAACATAGCTACCTAATTAAATAAATTTAACCTTTATTTTTTATTTTTTTTAGAATAAATAATATTGAGTTTATGATTTAGTACTAAAAATAAATATTAATTTAAATTTTGAGATAACTTTAGAATCTGCAAATCCAACTTGCATGTTATTAAAATCAAATACGCAATAAATATTTGACAAAAAAGCAGCATCAACTATTCTAAAGTTATTGGGAATTTTCGGAATTTCTGGCGAAATTACCTGAATGTTTTATTGACACAAAGCATGACGGAAGATCGATATATGCATTAATGTTACACAAGATTTTACATATCAAAAACCTATGAAATATGAGCACATCATATGACGGCTCATCAAAAAATCGTCCAATTTTCACAAAACTTTACCAGGGTGTTATACTGCTGCAAGGTAAACGGTTTGCTTGAAAACATCTAACACATCTAACGATCTGTGGGACTTTTATTAGACGTAGGTTTTCTTTAGTAAAATAGTAATAACTAGTTTTTTCGCAATCAATTCTACCTTAAGCAAAGCATTCACTGTTAAGAATCACGCTTCAGGATTGAAAATGTTATCAAAATGGAATTAAAAAACAGGCAAGTATGTCAATTATTAAAATTGGCTCAGCATTTATGAAATTATTTGATTCAAAATCTAATGATTTAGTTAAATCTATATCTAACATATATACAGTATTAATTGATAAGTTTCTCATCATTTGGTTTAATCTCCAATAATTTATTTAAATCTGCAGGTGCTTCTTTGTATTTTCTTTTTTTTTTTTAAAAAAAAAAAAAGTTTACCAATGCTCTATTTGATTCATTTCTGTTATTAATCTGAGTAAAATATCAACTTCTTCTATCTCTTCTGATTCTTTTTCATTACTTTCCATATTATTATTGTCATCATTAAGGTCTTCTTTGGTAAGTGTATCCATTCCTTCTTTGATTCAAGTTAAAAATTTTTTTATATTTTTGAAAATTTCTTTTTTATAAAACTCAATACAGTGATTACATTTTCTATTATAACAATTATTATGATAACTGTAGTCACAAACAAATACTATGCTATTGTTATTGGCAAGCAAATGTCTACAAGAATCATATAATTCTGAACATAAAGAATATGCTGTACTATAAGCTGTTAGGAGTTACTATAAATTCATATCTTTATCTAAAGTAACAAGATTGTATGTTATTAGTAGTTTTTTTTATTTTTTTATTTTTGTAGGGTCTTAGAATATTTTTTTTGTGATTATAAAAAATAGATTGAAAATATTGTACAAGAAAAAGTATTGTTTTATTATATAAAAAGTTTAATGTTTTTATATTTATATAGATACTATCATATTTTGCAATAGATGTTTTTAAATATAGAATCGTAATTCATAATAAAGTAGGCTTGCTTTAAAATATTATCTACTAATATATTTTTGAATATATTAGTTCTAATTTTACTATATACATTTTTCATAAAATATTCGTTAAAACATGTTAAATAATTCTGTAATAGATTTAAAAAAGGATAGTTAGTATTATTCTAATAAAATAAATGAGATAGAAATACAAAAGGTACTTTGTTATAATTCTTTTACTTCTAGTATAAAATGAATATTCAAATACAAAACATTGTCTCTATATATTTACTAAATTGGTCTGATCAAAACAGAATTACATAGATATTAAATATTACTAGAACTAAATTATTAAGCAGATCTACTATAGCTCGATACTTAATATCTTTGCATACTCACTCAAAATTTTCAATAATTTTGTCTTTAATTTTTGTCTAACTATTTTGTATAAGTTTTAACAAAAGGTTTACTTGTTAAGAACAAGGATTTTGACTAATTTTTATTTTTGCTAAATATATAATAGAACAATTTTTCAAAAAAAGAGTAATATATCATAATAACTTGCTCTCTACTATTAAGTAATATATAAAGTAAGCCTAAAATAGGCAAAAAAGTTTCAATTTATTGTAGAAATAAAGACTGTAAAGAAAGTAACTTTTGCATATATGGAGCCTTTCTAATAAAAATTTAGCTAAGCTAGTTTGTAACAACTAGTATAACTTGCTTATTCAAATATTGTGTCTTGTTATTTATAAACAATATAAGTTTTAATACACTAATATAATCTTGTACAAAATATAAATTTTGTTCTTTAAATTCTAAGAGTTGAAGCCCTTTTATCAATTGTTCTTCCTTATGTTCCTCTATATTATCTGCATAACTATATATTGTTAACAGTTCAATCAAGTCAAAATTATTACTAACTATATAACTATAGATATACAAATATATATTTTTTTGGCTCTATATTATATAATGCAGTATAATACAGAATATAATATTATGCATTTATAGTGTTATATCAAAATTAAGAAGCAAGATTCCTATTTCTAAACAGAAGTTTACTATTTTATAATATTTTTAAACCTCATAATAATTAATCTGCTTTATATAGGTAGAAAATTACTAACTAATATTATATATTACTTAGTATTATATATAATATAAAATATAATCTTTTATTGATTTTTGTTATATTAAAATTATATAGTAATTTCTATATATATTTTTAAATTTTTTTTTTTTTTTTTTTTTTTTTTTTGTAAAATAATGCCATAGTAGAAACTTTATTTATAAGTAGAACAAAAGTT